GTTTGATTTCAACCACCCCAACCGTGGCGTGAACACAGCTCTGAGTCTGAGGACGTGGTCTGTCAATGACTACAGACTGCTGCTGCTGTACACTTCACTGTGACTGCCTGTTCAGATGTAATATTTAAAACACCATGCGTTATACAACCTGATGCCAACAGTCTCCAAAGCCTTAATTTATACAAAGTGTTTTCCACTTCTCACAACCTGCACTTCTTGGCCGTCTTTGTGGAAAAGTGCACGTCGGCGACCTGAATGAGAAGCCATCGCTCGAAAAGTGAAGCCATAAGAACCGCCTGTGTCACCGACACACTCACGTCTTCTCTACTTGATGTTTTTTCTGATGAGATTTTTTTTTTTTAAAGAATTTACAGATGCAGTGAATTAACGTAGTCTGAGTGGTTCATGTAGACAAGTCATTATAATATAAAAACAGGGGTCTCCAACACCCGGTCCGGGGACCGGTCCTGGTCCGTAGGTCATTTGGTACTGAGCCGCAGTAAAAAAATCTACTTCAGTTTTACTAAATTTACTTCATTTAAAAAGAATCCAGTCATTTCATTTTACCCTTTTCATTTACAGATAATCTGTTGTCACCAAACAACAGGTCAAAGGTCGTGCAGACTCTGATAGTAACAGAATAAAGTCTTAAAGATGTTTTATTTTGAAATTTTAAAAATCCTTTAACAATGATGCGATATTACCGGTCCACAATAACATCTAATACGGCCGACCGGTCCTCGGTAGGACAAGGTTGGGGACGACTGATTTAAAACACTAGCAAAAAATAGAAAAAACGTCTTCAGTAAAACACACAGAAGAGGCAGATTTCTAATTACAATAATTTAAATAATTTAAAATTTTACCTGTAGATGATAGATTTCTTTTTTACTTTTTTAAATGAACCGAGGTTTAGTACTCAATATAACAGACCTTCTGTTACGACTTTATAAGTGTTTTTACTTGGAGCCACACCTTAAAGAACACAAATACATCACTGTGTTTCTGGAACGTCATCCTGTCACAGCCTACACTGCATAACATTTGTAATTCACAAAGTCTGTCTCCGTATTTTGAAATAACAGTAACTCAGGGACAAATTATTATCTTCATACATCGAGAATGAAACAAGTTGAAATTAGTTATTTTAATGTGAAACACCCAGCACTAGTCCACTCAGCGCTGCCCCTACAGGATGAGCAGAGGCTGATTTTAATGTTCATATATTCTCCCCATGATTCCCACTTTTTAAAAGTTACAGTTTTGAACCAGGGACTCCGAGTATCTACCTCAACAAATTTGCAGCCATTTTCAACAGAAATTGGTTTATCGTCAGACCACTAGAGGTCGCCAAAGTTCCGCCAAAATGGTTTGTGTACCATAGATTTAGAACCACGACTGCGTCAATTGCCACCAGGTGTGGCGTGTATAGAAGCTGAAGTGTCCTTCTGAACGAATGGTAACCACTAGGGTCCTCACAACGACTAAATCTCTGAAAGCCCTTTTATGCAATAAATAATTATTTTCAATTTCACCCCTATATAAAAACAGAAGGCGTAAATTGGGGGAATTAGCCTTTGACGACTGCAGGACGGAAAAACAGCTGTAAACATACGAGAGACTCAGGCTAGCTAATGTTGCAGTGCATCTGTAATGATAACGTGAGCATATTTCAAATGTTGGTTTTTAGCTGCTTTTATAGAGCAGTGCTGATCGATTCAGTGTGTTTATAACAGTAGACATAAAAGATTTTAAAACAAGGCTAAGTGTTTAAATCCTTCAACAGATGAAGAAGAGCAGCAAACTGTATCTTCTACAGTCACTGATCTCAAATCTGCTGATCTGAGAAATTCACTGGGAAGAAAAGTGGAATGAAATCTGCTATATTTAAGCTGTGACTGCAAGGAAAGTGAACATATCAAAAAAATATTTGCGTAATTTTGAAAGTATTCACATATAGGAGATACAAAGGTACCTCTGTGGATATATGAATAATAATGTTTTCTTCCTATGTTTTTTTTTTTGTTTGTTTGTTTGTTTTTGGACACTAATAGCCACATTTTACAAAATGCAATGTTTTGCCAAGACATTTTTAAAAAATAAACCCTGATTCTGTCATATGTTTTTGTTGTTGTTGGTATATGAGAAAAATATCTGATCTATTCACCGTACAAAGATAGTAACTGCAGCAACAGTAAATAAGCATTTCAACAATTATTATTACTGTAGTCATACAGTATATATATGTACATACATATTTTCTGTATATAAACATAAATAACATCGGCATGTGTTACCAAAAGAGAGGACTTTCATGTTTAAATATATACATATGTATGTATATTTTTATACAGTACATATATACATAAAAACTTTTAGCATAAAATTCATATACACAATGTAATAAGGTGAAACAAATACAGACAAATATTTATCTGGTGAAATATTAGAAAAGAAAATTGCAGTTTTTGAGCCAAAAAAAATAAAATAAATAACATTGGCATGTGTTACCAAAAGAGAGGACTTTTTTTCAGTGACCTCTTGTTCCTCACTGATTCAAACTTTCTTCCAATCAAAGCTGTTACAGATCTTGGTAGTTTCTGTAGTACTCAGTACTATTTCTAACAGTACTCCCAAACCTGCCCTTTGCTGCTCCTCCACTCTCCATTTTCTGCATTGCCTCAGTACACAGCGTGAATTGATTGTGTGCATCATCACTTTAGACAGGAAGTCTCTCTCTCTCCCTCCCTCCCTTCCTCCCTCTCTCTCCCTCCCTTCCATCTTCCTGTCCTCGGCTTCTCCTCCTCATCACCACTGCAGTATCTCAGTGCCTCTACCCCTGACCTTCCTCAGACACCATGCAATCATTCGTTCCCAGGTAGGATTCACACCAGGTCGTTCTCTTCCTTTTGTCTTTCAGCTCTTTTTTCCCTCCCATTTCATTTGCTAATAATTCCATCTGGATCGGTTCCTCGTGGCTGCAGGCCTTCCTGAACTACCGATGATTTTAGAGGAAGTTCCTTCTCTTTTATTTACATAAACGTTTATTTGATTACAGCTAGGGGACAGTCCCAAATATGACAGTGGCAGAATTGTGAACTTCCAAAGGTCTAATGGCAGCAGGTTTGTTTATACTGGCTCAGCCCTCAGCAGCAGCAGCACAGTCATTATTGTGTAAATGTATTATTTCTCCTCTTACCGTGTTTCAAATGCTAACTTTTAATTATACGTTCCTTTTCTAAATACTGAGCAGTATAAGTAACAGTATAAAAGCAGTATCTGCTTTTATACTGTTTATATTTTTTTACAGCCAGCGGCCACTTTGCTGCTGAGTTATTTTCGTAGACAGCGGGATTTTATATTTTCTGTTCAAACAAATTTTCCATCTTCCACTGTTTTTTTAACTTCATTTCTTCAATGTATTTTTTCTCATCTTATACCATTCTCATTTCATCTCCTCTCAAAGTATATAGTATATAGTGTGGTATATAGTAGTCTTCTAATGTTGTCATATCTTATTCAATCTAATCTAATACAGTCTAACCTCTAATCTCATCTCATGTAATCTAATAATTTAATTTTATTGTATATAATCTCATTTCATCCCCTCTCCTCTCATCATATCCTTTTTCATCTCATCTTCTCCTATGTCCATATATGGTATGTTATCAGTCTTCAGATATACCAAAAGTAATATATACAGTATCCATAAAATAAATATAAATATAAAAGTATTTTAATAAGTCCTGTCTGTATTTGAATCCAGTCGTCTGTGGTGCTTAGCGCCCCCTCACTGTGGGTCAGAAAACCAGGGTGACTCCACAGCTGAGAGATCAATAACTGTAAAAGCCTCACGGAGCTCAGGGTCAAACATGAGCCGTCCCTCTGCTGCCTGCTCAGCGCTTTCTCTTCGAGCTGCCACTGTTGGAAACTGCACTCAGGCTTTAAAGTCACAGATGAAAAGATTTACATTTCCATCTCTTTTTTTTTTTCTTTCTAATTTTGCTTCTGTTTTTGACATTCAGTGATAAGAAGAGACATTTGAGGGCGGGGCTACGACACTAGAGGAAATCAGTTGAGCCTTTTTTCTTTGAGCAGTTAAATTTAAACCATTCAATACCTATATTGATGATATTCTAATTAAACGAAGGAAGAAAAAAATGAAAACATAACTAGGTTATCTCGTCCGAAAAATATTGAATCTGATATTTATTTGACATATAATAGCAACAACTCCCCTGCAGGGGTCAGGCTAGATCACCCTCCACTTTGGAGACCACTGGCTTATCTTTTCTATCCCATTGTATTGAACAGGTTTAGTCCTTTAGTACAGAAAAGGTTCCTAAATATGTCGGTCAACCAAATATTCACCGAGGAAATACTTGAAACATCAACTGTTTCTGTTCCTATAACTTCATCAACAATGGTTCACACCTCTTTCATTCACACTCACACTCGACCCAGGTCGTATCTGACTCCAGTGAGGGACGAGGAGGCAGAATCTCAGAGGAGAGCCAGGTCTCGTCATGCCAGACAGACCCGCAGGTCGACACAGGTAGACGACAACCAACGACAGTCGTACCTGAAGCCTCTGTATGATAGGCTACTGTTGTGACTGAGCTGCTCTGGATGTCCTGCAGGGGGTGACTCTGTCAGACCTCAGAGAAGCTCAGAAGACGAAGAACCTGTCTCCTCCTCAAGACCGACCGCTGGAGGACGGAGCCTCTCAGTTTGACAGGTCCTGTCAGAGGAAAGGCTTCACAGACCAGACAGTCAAGAGTCCACTGACAGAGGTTACTGAAACCACTGACACCAAGACAGTATCCAGCAACGTGGATGAGGTGAGAATGGGAAATAAACAATTCTCTGCAAACATTTTTTTTTTTAAATTAAATTCCATCTCTTCTCTACACAGCAGGGAAACGTTGAACCCAGATGTGAAAGCCTCACAGAGAGTCCGACAAGAAGCCGTTCATATCTGCCTGATGCTAAAGCCTGTGGTCTGGCCCACTGTAACACCTCCTTCAGAGGTCAGTCTATATATATATATACATATATAAATATATATATACACACACACATATATACACATATATATGCACATATATGTACACTGTAAATATGTTTACATTCTGTGTATACGTACACATTTACGTATATATGTATGCACATATAAATATATGCACATATATACATAAATATATAAATATTATACACAATAATATACTGTGTGTGTCCAGTTCCTGAGAGGTGGTGGAGAGATGAAAACCAGAATCCCGTGGAGGTTCCCACACAGCAGCACCAGAGACCATGTAGCCCTAACATGAACGACGCAGAATACTACGGAGCAGAAGTAGGTGGAATGTTTTTACTCCAAATGTTGTACTACAGAGGTTTTCAACAAGAGGTTTGCAACCCCTAGATAGTGCAGTGAGGGAGGAGGGTAACAATTTATACAGTGTTATAATGGGCCATTACTCATTAATAATATCAATATTCATATTTTATATTTAATATATTTACATATATTAAATATGAAATATATAATATTATATTAAGTGTGTACTATATACTGCACACTGTTTGGGATTTCTGGTCCATCTCTCTATCAGTTTGGGGTTCTTGGCCTGAAAACTCCTACTGAAATATATATACAAATATTATAAAAATCACTGCAGAAAAAGCAAGTATTACACTATTCCACTAGATGGCGCCAAAGGCTTTCTCCAACACTGAGCGAGAGGCGTTAGATCCGTGTTTAAAGTCAAACATTTTCTACAACAAAACTATGATTTTTAACAAAGTCAAAGAGTTTAAAAAAACAACATTTGGAACATTTTTAATATTACTGCTCAACTGATGACACGTACTGCAATATCTGTATTTTTTTCATACAGATAAATATTCAGAGGTGCCATCGTTTCACACTCGACTCCTCGGGCTCCATTTACCCCCGAAAGCCACAACAAGGCTTCAAAAGCATCACTGCTCTGGAGTCTGACGCAACATTTAGAGATAAAGTGCAACCTCAGATGTGAAGCCGAGATTGTCTTCACCATGCTGGTTAATACCTAGCAGTAACACACACACACACACACTTCCTCTAGGTGGCTTTGCTTCTTCACATCACATGGCTGAGGTGTCTCAGCATTCCATCCCATATTGGGGAAAACGGAGTCTCTCTCTGAGCAGCTCTGGATTTAGAAGGATTTACTTTCATTTCTCTTCACTGACACCGTCTCTCCCTCCAACCGAGAACACCATGCCTGTCTCACCCCCACCCCATTAGTCCTGTCTCCTACTGGGCGCAACCTGTCACTAAACTTTATCCATTTTTTTTTCCTCCCCTGGATTTCTCCCTCATAAAAACGTCTTCTGTTTTAGACGTTTGAAAGCGCGGCTCACTGTGAGTCAGCGTGTACTGACTCCGGGTCAGAGATTCAGCTGTCCCTTGTGTTGGGAGTCTGTTTGTAACACGAGTCTCTTTGCATTACTGAGTCGGCTATATCCGTCTGTGATAATCATACCGATCATGACGGCAGGCCGCCCATCTCCACAGACGACCTTTGTGTGACTCCATGATGATCTGAACAGACTTTCCACAGCAGCAGGAGAGAGGCAGGTGCCGAGCCACTCGACCCCGCTGTTACTTTTATTTAGTTTTATGACGTCAAGAAGTCAATAAACTGGACCGCAGGGTTTTTCTCTTTGATAATTGATCAGATCGGTGGTTCTCAAATTATGGTTCGCAAGCCGCTGGTAGTACTTGACTAGCCCCTAGTGGTACACTCTGATTGTGTCTGTCTTGAGACAGCTATTATTTTGGAAACAATTTCTGTCCAAGTGGGGATAATGTTTCACTTTGTGGGGGACATTTTATCGCTAGTAGTAAGGAGTCGGATTAGGCATATTTATTAAAGGCTAGGCTAAGGAGCTAGGGACGGCATTATGAATTTGTAGAGCACGAGTCAAATTCAAGGCCTGGGGGCCATATGTGGCCCGCCAAGTCATTTTTCATGGGTCCTGGGAGCTTAAAAAGCTTTTAATAAAACCTAATTTTTTTAAATAATATTTAACCGGCCCTTCTAGAGGAGCTGTATTACTGATGTGCCCCCGCCCCAAACCGGCCCTTCTAGAGGCACTGTATTACTGATGTGCCCCCGCCCCAAAGATGAGTTTGGCGCCCCCTGTTGTAGACGTGGAGAACCACTGGATTAGACTGTGTTGAATCGGTGCTCGTTCTGTACAACAGTGAAAGTTTCCCCACGGAAAGAGCAGAAGTTGAATGTTCAGACTGGGGGAACTCCGGCTGAGATCAACACTTCGTAAAATTCTCCAACATCTTTGCCAGCGTTTGTTCACCGCCGTCACCTCGTATCCACTGTAGACGGAGCTCTTTTCACTGATCATATAAGCAGCAGATAACATCCTGGTGGCTGTGAGACTGAAATCCTACCATCGCTCATAACCTTTCTGTTCAGCTCTCCAGGTCCATCCTATCTCCTCACTCCACCTGGGTCACAGTTTGTGTTTCTTACTCGTACTCGTATCTCCCATTTAATCTGTTCGCCCCCGAGGAATGGGTGAAAGAAAGAACGAAGAGCGCAGTTACACACACCTTCCTATAAAAGGAAGATGGTGGTGAAGTCAGGATACAGAGACGGAGAAGAACTGAGTTCTTTAAAGGGAAAGTTTGACGTTAAGGAAATGCAGAAACAGGAACAGGAAGACTGTTACCTGTTCTTGTTACACACTGTGAATGTATGGTGGTAGAAGGGGATATATGGGTGGGAATATATGCATGCATATATATAGTTGGATGATAGATGAAAACAATGATGGATGAATGGATAGATGGATGTACAGTATATATGGCTGGATGGATGGTAAAATATTGACCTTTACATGAATGGATGGATGGATGGATGATATATGGATGGATGGATGGATGGATGGATGGATGGGTGGATGGATGGATGGATGGGTGGATGGGTGGATGGATGGATGGATGGGTGGATGGATGGATGGATGGGTGGATGGGGGACTACTGAAACCACTACCATGGCGACCATGGCGTCTACTGCCCTAACACGGCTGCGCCGGCCGACCTTTCACACTCTGCTTGGTAACGGCTCCCCAGTGTAACTGTCTGTCCACCTTACAGGACACAAACTGCTGCCCTCCTCCACCACCCGTCCCCCCCCCCCGACCGACCCGCCCAATCATCGCCCCGCTCACCCTGTGTGCCTGTTCACATCAGTGGACAATTTTAGTTTTCAGTGCAGAGTCTGGCCTCAGGAGAGCTTCTGGCAGCCTTCCACATAAAGCTGCCAAAGCTGAAGAGAGCAGAGAGAAGCACGGGGGCTAGGGGGGCCTGGGAGGGTGAACGAGCAGTGAATAGTGAAGAGAGAGAGAGAGAGAGAGAGAGACGGGGGGGAGAGATGGACAGGGAGTATCACTTTGGGAAACAGGAGGAGACAGCAGAAGAAGAAAAGTTCTGTTTCTGTTGACATTTTTTTCACATTTAACCAAAGATCTGAGGCGAGACGAGCTGGACCGTCACTGGTCGGCACAGAAGTTTTCCACAGATTATTTAGCATTTTTGGCTCGTCGTGTGCTCTGCGTGCGGTCTCTGGAGAACACATAAACACCAACACACACACACACACACACACCTGTTGTGCTGCGGAGGATTCCCCCGGAGCAGGCTGGTTGGCGTCTGCGTCATCGCTGCCGTAGGGCATCTGAGCAGCGCCGCTGCGGTGGTTAAGTGGAGGCGGCCGCTGTGAAACTTTACTGTAGACACTGACCTACATGATCAGGGTTGAGGAGGGAGATGTCGTCCTACTACCCACGCACCAAGGACCTGACTCGCACCAGGAGGTCGGTCGCCGATTCACCGCCGTCATCTCCGTCACCTACAGACAAAAACTACAGAGTAAGATGAAAGTTGTTGTTTTTGTTTTAAACTTTCTTTTTTTTATTCTTAAAAAACCCAACAGCATAGATAGATCATTCTTATTTATTTTCACTGTGTGAAGACTTTAATAGCCGGTTAATTACCCCCCTCAGATATTGTTTCAGGAATAAAGATAAGAATTTGCTGTGAAGCACTGAGAATCTTGTAAAGGAGATTCAGATTGAGAACATTCCACTGGCAATTTCCTGGTAATTTTTTTTTCTTTTTTCCAGGATAAGTGACTTATTCACATGGGAGTTGTTGGACTGTTGTGTTTATATCAGTGCATCAGAGTTGGACGCTGCGTGTCAGGCTCAGTTAAAGGGACAGAGAAATAAATAAGACATCAACAGGAAAGTTACATTACAACAGAATATGAGATACTTTTGTTTTTGTGCAATACTTATAAATTCCACCAGGCTTTCACTGCCCGCTTTTTAACAACTGACTGTCAGGCTCTGGCTTGATGATGTGTCTGTGCTGGAACTCCGACATTCATTTTATATGATGTCATCCTAATCAGCTTTGATAAAGTTTGGAGGGGAAACAAAAAAGGGCCGATGCTCTATTTTTACCCTGTTGCTCACGGTTTTCAGTTAAAGCGGATTTCCTCTAATGAATTACAATGTGAGTCGCAGCTGCGAAAAAAAAACACATTTTCATGACTGGATGACATCCATCACTGAGTGAGCGGTGGTGGAAAATAATAAACAATTGTCTTTATCTTATATAATAAAAATGTGACTAAATAATAAAATAAAATCACCTAGAATTGTTTATTTATTTATATAGCAACGTATGATTAAATCATGATTATCTTTTCATGTTCGTCACTCAATCATTTTAGAGGAATTGACTTTTAGTCCAGACGTGGCGACGACTAATGTAAATGCAGTAAACAACAGCGATGTGATGCTGTTTAATCAGTGTCATGTCTGTGTACTATTGATCTATTGATTTAGCGTCATATTATGTTTTCACTTAGAGGATGATCGATGATCATGTGACCAGGTGGTCAAGGATTTGGCTCGTCATCGGAAGTTGAGGTTCGAATCCCAAACAAGTCTCAATACTTTCCCTCAAAATGGGGGGGCACCCCCCTGTGATTTATAAGAGTATTTGCTTTGTTTAATGAGATTAGCATTTTTGCAGAATTGAGTGTTTTACACAAATTTTGAAGCTGTGAAGTTGTCAATTTGGGCGGGGCTCTGCAATGACCCTACTGTATTTATAAAGGGGTCGGGGGTGTTAGAATACTAGGAAAAAAAACTGGACAATTTCTTCATTGAAGATCATTTTCGCATTGAACCAGTAGAGGATCGCAGACTGAAAACTCTTTGTACGTAGCCTCCGAAGCAGAAATGCTATGACAGGAAGTAACGCAGAAGATTGAGACGTAGCGCAGTGATGACCTCATCCTCCCTTCAAAACTGCTGTTAACACTTAATACCATTCATGTCTCTAAACAGTGAGCTCATGCAGCCAGCCTGCATTGTATAATGTTGTTCCTGGCCAACTATAAAACTGCAGGCAGCGCTGTTTACAGTGCGCCTGTGGTCCAAGTGTGCACCCGTCTGTCTGATACCCTGTTGTTTGTCCTCCTTTGGTCTCCTCCAGAGTCGTCTTTTTCGCGTATACTTTATTGCTCTGAGTGTGCGCCGCTTCAGAACTTTGCTAAGAGTGGAAATAGACTGGAGCAGCGAGAAGTATTAGCAAAAATGTAGCAATGACTCAGAATTTGGCTTCGGTTCAAAGTGGATACAGACATTAGGCACGCAGAGATACGTGAACGCTGAATGTACTTAGGGGGAAAAACAAAACAAAACACGTGGCTAATTTTAAAAATGTGTTGCTAAACCACCTGGTTCAATTCCACCTACTCTATAATCCCAGAAAGACGCGTATTGTGAAAACCTTAAATTAAATCAACATCCCGCTGTGGAAACCCTTTGTTAAAGGACGAGCTGAAAATAATTCTTCTTCAGTACAATTCTCTCAGTTCATTTTCAATGTCTAGCTTTGATCTGTGTTTTGCAATAGCGAAAAGTCCCCCGTGGGGCCACACTCCCCCACTTTGGGAACAAGCGTTTTCATGTAAAATGAATATCATGCAACGGAACAGGTCGTGTCCGTTTCAGTCGGTCTTTGATATCCAGTTACGGACGCGATGATGTCACGGCCGTTCCGATCGATGGCCTAGGAGCGTTGGTTTGAGTGAGAACTCCTCTCATCTGAGGTCACAGAGGTTTGTTTTTTCCTGGATGGCTCAGCTTAAGCACATGACCACATAAGGACAGGCAGTGCTGGCTCAGTTATGTAAACACTTGCTGAGGAGTAGCTCCTTCGGTGCTCAGTGAAATATCCCCTAACTCACCAAATGTGAGCGAAGGAATAACTGTTCCCTCAGACATAAATTGTCCTCCTGCGGCGCACAAGCTTTTAACGTACCCTACATCTGCTTCTCGTCTCAAACAGCCCGCGCCGCCGCACAAGATGTTTATTGCACAGCTACTCCAAACAAAGATGTCGAAGACCCCCGGTCTCTGTACAGACAGCGACTCTGAATCTCTGACTTTGGGAGCCAAAATCGCAGAAATCTCACGGATCTAAACTTACTTTTTAGCCAGGACAGAAAAATGCACTGGTGTTTAGACATTCAGCAAAAGAAGGAGGCGGAATGGTTGGGATGTTTTGGTGGCCTCCAGAGGAAAGGGACCAAGGAAGCCAAAAATCCCACTCAAAATAACCCTTTGTTATTGTTATATTTGAAACTTTATGTGGCACCAAAAAAATTTTGAACTGTGAAAAGCAACAATAAACTAATTTAATAATTAACCACTAGTGTTTTCAAAAGTCGTAATGTCAAAAGATCAACTCCTCATCCTACGATACTTAGGATCTGAATGAAGAATTTTACCAGAAATAAAAAAACAAAGCATCTGTCTCATAGGAAAAAATAGTGGAAGACAAATTTTTACGACAGGTCCGACTTTCGTAAAGTGGTTAAAACACAAGCCACACAATAGCTTCTGCATATCTCAAATAGAGAAAAATAAATCCTGACGTTGCGTGATTTATTCATCCTGCTTGACCGTGCTGGCGTGCCACAATAAGCCAGGGGACAATAAAAGCTGCTCAAGGGCCATGATTGGACCCTGGGCCATAATTTGGACATGCCTGCCCGAGAGCAAAAATCCACTTCCTGGATCACACGTTGCTCCTCTGAAATTTCTGCAAAATTCTGGCAACAAGTCACTGGCACAGAAACATCTCGTTGGGTTTCGGACCGCGGTGCTGTTGCAATCCCGTAAAACTGGAGGTTATGAGAAACTTTTGCTCCCGACTTACGAAATCAGGCATCCTGAGGTTCAGTGGAAACACGGTTCAGATGAACCTAAGTACTGAAGTTGGTGTGAATGAAGCACAACACATAAAATCAGTCAAAAAAAAAACTTCATCCTGACTTGGCAGCGCTAACACCGGCTGGACGGACTGCTATCAGTTCGCATTCAGAGGTCAGACATCAGCCCAATCGCGTTGCAGATTCTAAGCCCCTGACGTCATGATGTCATCTTTCTGCTGCAGGCATTTGTTCTGCAGCCCCCTAATGGAAAAGATTAACTGGACTCACTGGGGAAGTTTGACTCGTGTGAACCCTGTCACTGCAGCAGCGGCGGCTGAACTGCATCTCATTTATTCGGCAGGCTGCTTCTGAAGAACTCTGCATAATTCACTTAGAAGTTCCGTTTGGTTCTTGTTGCCCTCAAAGTGGAAACAATTTTTCCCTGCCAAGAATTGTGTTTAGTCCAATCAAACAAATACATCTGGATATGTACACACTGCTGCTTCACGTGTTCTCAGACACTGTGCTAAACTGCCTCTTCTTTGTGTTTCAGCATGACAGGCTGTCCAGGTAAGAGTTTCACATTATTATTTTTCATTATCAATAATAATAGGGCTGTCAAACACTGAGATTTTTTTTTACGATTAATCACAACTAATCGTGATTAATTGGGCATTCGAACTGTTGATGAATTGGGTCAACACTCTGCATGTTGACGACGGACTGTAGAACACATCGTGACGCTGTTGTCCTGACAAATATCAATCAGTTTACGGTCCCTTCATTTGACAGTTGTGTCAGTCAGCGTGTCAGCCTGAGTCACCACACTGTACTGACACAAGCGGGGCATCTGACATGGGGCATGCTTGGGGCAGTGGGGGCAAGATGGTATTTTGAGCTCAGAGTATTTCAGTAAAACTGATTTTTTTTTTCCTGTAGTCTGTGTAAATGACAACAACTGAATCAACTGTATCAGAGCAACAATAAGTGGATAAACGGTGGATTCACTTTGACAGCCCTAATTACTACTAATATTAGTTATTACTAATTCTGAAATATGTGTCCAACACTGGATAAAGTCAAACCCTGTTGTTCCTATGATCTGTGCTGCCTGCAGGTACGACTCCAGCGGAGAAAGCGTGACGGAGAAACCTCTGGGTCGCACCAGCTCTTATACACGGAGAGAGACAAGACTGGCTGCTCTGAATCAACAGGAACAAGATTCCACCCGCACGGACTACAAAAAGGTTGTGGTTGACACAAATTTGCCTCAGTTTTCTTATCGGAGAAGCTACCTGCCTTTTTCCTCCAGGGGGTGCCATCAACACAGATTTAAAGCATACATCATTGTTTTATGTAACTTTGATCCTTGAAATCTTCCATAACTTAGTTGTTTTATGTAGCTTTGATCCTTGAAATCTTCCATAACTTTATCCACAATAACAAACACATCCATATATACCAAAAAAAAAAAAAAATTCTGAAAGAGGGAGGCAACCCTGCTGAGTGTAATTATTTAGGTCAAAGGCAAAATTAAAGTCTTAGAAATAGTTTTTTTTTCATAGCTGCTGTCAGCAATTTTATTTTCCCACTACTGCTCGTGTTCTCTGCCAATTTTCTACCATACTCTATTAACCTCACCATGGGGGGCGGGGGAGGGTTTATTCCAACAAAAAAGCTCTGGAGGGCGCTGTCTTTATGGCACAATTCGACTGAGAGACACACACATGACTGTGGCATTAAAAACTGTCAGGATACCATGATCCATGTTTTTTTCTTTTTATCTTTTGTTTTTATTATTTCACCGACACAGAGGTTAAATTCCAGTCTCATCTTTTTCAGATGTACGCTGAAGCTCTGCATGAGAATGAGAGGCTAAAGTCCAGGCTACAGGGCAGCAAACAGGAGCTCGTCAAAATACGAGCCCAGTTGGAGAAGGTCACACAGGTACGACTCGTATTTGTCTTTGTTTATCCTGGCAGGTTCAGGACCAGGCGACCGGACTGGCCTTAGCTTCTTGAAGACTTTTCCCCTCTTGTTCCAGAGGGTGATGAACTAAAAAAAAACTTTCAGAAACCTGAGCCAAAACTGTTGCCTACTTCTGAATCTCTAAGGATCAAATGACTGAGAACCTTCAGCGACCAGAGAAAGGTCATGACTTCCAATTGGATAGCATGGAGCTCAGGGATGTGTTTGTGTCCACTTTCTAATTCAGAGACAAGACAGAATATCGGAGAGGTCTTCAGTGCTTGAATCCGAGAAAAGGGTTAGTGCTCTGACGATACGTGCGGCTTTTAAATCAAACTTTTGTAACCTTGTTCCTGTCTCACATCATTTCTTCCATTAACAGGAAAAACAAGTACTTGAGAAGAGAGTGTCGGACATGGAGGAAGAGTTAAAGGTCAGTCAACGCTGAGATAAATACTAAACTTTTCTTGCATTAAAATAGTTTTTTTTTGTCTCAGTTGTTTTATATTGTTTAACTTCAAATACGGACACGAATGCTGAGGTCAGGCAAACATGGCAACCAGAAAAAACAAGTATTAATACTATTAAAACAAAGAGGATGTTGGTCTAGAAATGAAATCTGTGCTCAGCACCCCCTAGTGGATGTAATTATTAACAACTATGCCAAATGTAAAACTTATGACATCACGTGTACCGCAACCCTTAGCTTTGTCCACAACTTTGTCCTACCTCCGCAGTCCACCAGTGTAAACATTTACAGTCGTTTTTGACTCGTTACAGTCTGACTCGTTACAGTCTGACTCGTTACAGTCTAACTCATTACAGTCGTGTCTAAATATAACACAAGGATTATGGGAGATTTTTTTTTTACATGGTATAAACGTACATTCACACTGTACTGGGATTATTTGACAGGTGGGCTCACAGTCAAGGAGAAGAAAGGTTAATGCTTTTAGGCTCATTACCCACAGTGCACTGCTGGGCCACTTCCTGCTAGGCTAAGGAGGAGCTAATACTGCTGCTCCCCTGCTCCACTTATCCTACTGTCGGGGTGAACATTGTGACCTAGTTCCAGCTAAATACCAAACACTATCCAAGCGCAAAAGACATGCCTTGTTTTGGGGGGGAAACATTCCTGAACAGAACTTTAGAACAAAGCAGCAGAACAACGTCAGGCCTGAGAAAAAAGCTCTGCTCTGATCTTCATTCTGTCTGCAGAAAGACAGAATAAATTCAACACTTTCAAGTGTATTGTTAGCAACGTTCTTAAATTCCTCAGAAGTATAAAAGCCTCGGCTTCAGTCTGAGGGGAGAACCTGACGAAACAGGCCAGACATACAGACGCAGCAGTGATTCTGGGCCAGTAACTGATGACTGACCTTCATGTTGTCATGGTTTCAGCGGGAGGCCCCCCTGCGGTTCCGCTGTGGGTACCAGCCTTGAGGTCAGACTGTCTCAGGGCAGGTGAGTGATGGTCGATGTACAAACAGAGGTGCGACCAACATGTGCCTGCCACCCGCTGTGACACTCTTCTGTCAGAGACTAGGGGCATGTTTACACGTGTGGACACACAAACGCATCACACCAGCACCACAGTAGAACCCGCCGGAACATCACAACTGGGACGGACACTCACTCCACTCACTTGTTTTTCCTCAAGTAGTTGATTTTTCACAGTAGATTACACGGTAGATTATGTTGCACCTTAATGCCACCTAGTGGAAAGAAAAAAATAGTAACAAATGATGTAATGGGTTTTATTTTAGCCTCTATATGCAAACTGAGTGGGTCACACGGTGGAAGGGTGTGGAAGGCTTTTCTCTCAGGATGGAGATTAATGGTTCGAGTCCCAGTGGTAACTGCTGGTCTTTCTACATGGAATGTTCACGTTCTCCCAGTGTGTCAGTTGTTAAGATACTCTAAATCAGGGCCGTTACACTCAGGACACTGTCGTCATCATCTCTGGTTCACCTGGTATATTAGACCAAGACCAAGTTTTCGATCAGAATGTTTCACAGCATCTGCCTCTGGTGCCGTTTCAGACCAAGTTTTCGATCAGAATGTTTCACAATTTGTCCTTGGTTTTACTTTAAAGTCTCACGTTTCCAAGTGCTGAGCTGAAAAAACCCCACTGGTTCTCAGACTATGGTTTGCATACCACTGATGGTACCTGGAACCTTCAACACTGAAAGAAGTATTTTCTATTATCATTCAGTATTAAGTGTGACAAACTCACTACAATCACATACAGTACAGGGATTTGATCTTTAATTTAGAGGAGACAGCCTGATTGTGTTATTTTGCTAAAAAAAACAAGCTAAAAAAATAGTTTAACTAGATTTTTGTACAAAATTACAGCCCGTTTTTTTTTTCTGCTATTGACGTATTATACTAATGGATCAGAGTCGGGCTACATTGGTACGTTAAAGGGAGCCATTGTAAAGAGGCTGAAGAGCCACACAGGTTGCAGACCCCTGCTCCAGTAGTCAGGGTGACCCCCGTTACTCACCAGTCTAGGGCTAATTTTGAACCCATTTGCCTTTTTATATTTTGCTCTCAGGGTACAGCAGGCCTGTCCAGCTGTATTTCAATGTTGGTCGTATCTGTGGTACTGGGGCAGATATCTTTTCAGAGGTGGTAAATCTATGAGAATCTGTGGCGCAGTATATTTACCAACACTTGAGGGTGTAGTCTGACCAGATTTAGAGTCACATTAATAGTGGTGAACACGTACAGGTAGGAAGTCTCTCCCTCTCCTTCTCCCTCTCCACTCTCACCCCCTCCCCCTCTCTCTCTATCACTGTACTGTCTGGGCTCACAAAGGCCACATCTCCAGACACTATTCCACTTTATCCCAATATTAATGGACAACTTAATATGCATGAACTGTTCAGTCTCAAACATCGACAGCTTCAAATTGCTCTCGCACCACTGTGGTCTGAGACAAAAGAGGAACTGAGGTCGAGATTTGTGTCTCAGGGGGAAGGTTAAGGGGGGGGGAGGGACAGTGAGGCAAATTAATTTAAAATTCAATACATATTAAATTTGTGCCACGATAGAGAAACTGGAGTGATTCCTGATTTTGCTTCAGTTTCAGTTCAGTTTTGAGGGAGTCGTGTATGCGTCGATGTGGGCTGGGTCGTTTGATTACATTCCCATCTACAAACCAAGGTTTGGGAAACACTGGTTTTCTGGTCGGAGGCTGGGGAATGCATTTTGAATGTGTGAATAATTCCAGTCTCTGCCTTTGACTCAGTTTTTGTCTGGACACTTTGGGGGCAGCTGTAGGTCGTGTGAATTTAAACTCTCACACACAGTCAAAGACAAAACTTCAACTCAGGGACAGGGAACCTAATTATTTCTTTTCTGTTTTCTGCCTTTAAAATAGTCCAACTGTTGATGAAGGTCATGTGTTCATCTCCAGATTCCTTTCTCTGTCCTGTTTTTTTTTTTTTAATCAGAATCTACTTTCTTTATTCTCCTTTTGCACATACTGTAGGTCTCCGTCCCTGCATGCCTTCTCTCTGTCTCCCCCTCTCTTTCATGTCTCTCCTCCTCTGTGCAGGCCTTCCCTGCTCTGGCTCAGGTCCAGACCCTGCGGAGACTGAATGAGTGTCTCCTGACTGAGAATAGAGCCATGCTGCGTGTACTCGCCCGGCTCACTGAAAGGGTCTCCATGCCGGAGACAGAGGACCTCTGATCCTCCGGTGTTGCCTGTCCTCCTTCTCCCTTTGTCTGTGTCCCTTCTTAAGCCACACTACTTCTTCAGTCCTCCCTCCTCCTGGTGCCTCTACAGTCCCCTCGTCCTCTGCTGTGTCCCTCCCAGGCAGGTCCTGCACCCTCCCTCCTCAAACACCGCCTCGCTCTTATTCTGCACCTTTTTTTTTCCCCTCCTGAACCCATTTTTCTTTACGGCCTTTAATCATGTCTGATTTTCCTTCTGTGAGGTGTATTTTTGGCTACAACAGTTTGCAGCAGCGTCACAGGATAACTGAGCAAAGAGCTGGTTTTTCTGTTACACTCATTTTCCTGCTTTTCTTCTATTTCAAGTATTTAGTTCAGGGGTCAGCAACCTTCAACACTAAACGAGACATTTATTTTAGATTTTTACCAACAAAATCACATCGACCATGTAAACAAAAAATAAAAGCAGGCACAATAGATTAGATTAAACTGGAATAAATCTGATTAGATTAGAATACATGAGAAATAAAAGCAGACACAATAGATTAGATTAAACTGGATTAAATCTGATTAGATTAGAATATCTTAAACTTGATTAAATCTGGATTAAATCTGATTAGATTAGAATACATGAGATGATGTTAGATTAGATTAGATAAAATTGGATTAGAAAAATACTAAAAACAACACACTTTGAATAAAAGTATTATAAGAGACAATAAAATATATTGCATCGATCAGTATTTAAATGCAGATAACAGGAATATGATAATACAGACGGTGGAAAACAGGATTGAACCTTAAATGCAGATAACAGGGATATGATAATCGATACAGACGGTGGAAAACAGGATTGAACTGCTGTCATTAATAAATTCCTCATTTGGGTCAAAACATTTCAGACAATTGAGAAAATTGAACACACTCGAAGCAACAAGCTCCAGAAAAGCTCCTTCCTCTCTGTGACAAAAACCGACCCATCAGACATTTTATTCTAAAAAAGTGGAGATATTTTTAGCCTTTCCTCCTCCACAGAGTTGTGACCCAGTTTGGGGGGAAAAATGACCCTTCGTTCTCTTTGACTTCATTCACTTTTTACACTCAAATTTGACAAAGACACTTCTCACTGCATGTCCTTCGTCACTTTCAAACTTTTAGGCGACACTTGGTTTGTTTTAAAGAACTAAAGGCCGGGTTTTAAAGTTCCATCAAAGCTTAAACCCACAAAAATGACACAGGTTCTAATGATGATGAGGAGGAGTTTAAATTTGATCTAGTCTAACACGATTTCCTTCCTTTTTGCCCAAAGGTCTTAACAGAGCTCAAGTCAGACAACCAGAGGCTAAAGGATGAGAACGGAGCGCTCATCCGAGTCATCAGCAAACTGTCCAAATGAACCGCGCTGCCCGTGGTTCTACATGACAGTCTGTGGATGTTCTATCACTGACTGCTCTGTACAAGTTTCCACAACACGTCACGACACCTCGGCTCCCCCCTGAGGAGGGAGGAGGAACAACAAAGGTGGATAAGTGGAGATGAATTATTTTCACTCCGATCGTTTCAGCTTTTTTGAGACACACACACACACACAGTATTTCACTTCATCCACACAGGGACCATAACATTATGAACACAGTCTGAAGGTGCTGACTCTGATATGATACTCACTATTATCACACACTGAAATGTCACTTTCACAAGTATTTGTTATGTTCTACTTCAAGTTATTGTGTTGTGTTTTTTTTATACTACTGACATTATTCGCTGCAGAAGAACACATACACACTCTCACACACACACAGAGATATATACATATATATGTACATATGTTTACATAAGTTTGTATATGTATATATGTGTGTGTGTGTGAGTTGCTACTCAACATTTTTGAAAACATATGGGTTCTATGTTGTTAATTCAATTCAAAACATTCTGTTCATTGAATTCATATTCAATCACGTCTCTCTTCACTAAAAATGAGAGTCTTAAATGCAATTATACACAGTCTGAATTATTACAAACCGTATTTAGGTGAGGATTAATTAAACACCGTCGACTCACGTTACACTTTATTTCTACATTTGATAACACTGTGATGGCTCGAACCAAGCTACATGTACAGTACGTCGCTTCAATGCAGTCCTGATGTTTAGTTGTTTATTCGGAGCATTAGCATGAGTTCAAGAGGACGCACTTCTGAGATTATTATTACTAATTATTACTTTTTTTTAATTAACCAGTTGATTATTAAAAAGAAACCCAAGGGCATAAAAAGAAAAAGATATAAAGTAACTGTCCAGCTGCATCGACAAATTTCTAATTAATCAATCTGTTCTACAGGGGTTTTAATAAACGTAAATATGCTAAAGAATGTTACAATTATTATTTGTAAAACTGAGATATTAGCGAAAAACCATAAAGACGAAGGACGTCCGATATTAGAATATTATGTAACATCTGTAAGAACCATTATTGGTTTTTCCTCCGATATTAAAATCCCGATAACGCAATGCCTGGGTTTGGCCAAATGATGTGTGCCCTAAAAATAGTTGTGAGGATAAACGGCTGTATATTAAAGTGAAAGTCAATAGATGGCACTATTGCAGTTTATTTAATTAATCTAATTACTACCAGGTCTATATCGGTAGAATATAATCAGGGAGTCCAGACACTAATTCACTACACCAGCAGATCTGTTGACCAATTACAGCCATCTTTAAAAACATTTAAAGAGCTCGACAGTGCTAGCTTCAGAGTCTCACCTTTTTCATATATATATATTTAAATGTTTTTGTTTTGTTTTATTGCTTTGTTTATAACACACCTTTTTTAAAGCAGAATGGTTACACCTAATTTCCCAAGTGTGGTTTTGTAAAAGCGTTATACTATATTTATTTATTTATGAATGTACTGGTTATCGTTACACTTTGTTTACTAGTGTTTTCTATCACAACAGTTCAGTGTTCTCTTTTATCTGTTGTCTTGTAGGAGGACACATTCGTCACTAATCGTTGCAGCCATAAAAATAACATTTATTTAAAATTTTAATTGTCAGTATTGACTTAATTCAAACGCGACGTTGACTCGGAGTTTCAGTCATAATCTGAAATTAGCTAAATATGTAAACAAGAGGCATCAGAGCTGATTTGAGTCACGGACCGTGTTGTTCTCAAGGACCGGTCTTTTTAAAAAAAGAAAAAAAAGCACCACAAAGTAAAACGTCTGATTTTAGAACAAATATTAAATAAAACGTCTGATTTTAGAACAAATATTAAGCAGATTAAAGTAAAACTCACCATTTCACCTGACTTGACTTGAAGGTCTGAAACGTGACAATCACCTGTCGCGATAAACCTGTGCTTTCGGTAGGAATGTTTGGAACGTTATTTTATTTTGAAGGCCAGAACCTGTATTTCCGCCTATTTTCCGTTCTGCGTTCCGGCTTTTATTTTGAGTATTTTGAGTAGTGGTGCTTGTAAATCCAGGAGAAAGCGGATATTATTTTCAAAATAAAACATCTATTGCACTACGGTGCAACTATTTCACAGTTTTGTGGTAACGATGTACCTTTGGCAGGGAATTTTTATTAATAATATCAATTGAGAAAGTCAATCATTAATAAATTTATTTTTACAAAACAGCTCAACAGGGTTTTTTGGTATGACATCATCTGTTAAAATGCCATACTCTGCTGCCCTTTACCCCGTGAATGGTTTCTTTGACCTTTTTCACGTATTGTGTTGGTGAATGAGTTGCCCCCGGTGTTTTTATTCCACAGCGTAGTAACACCACTGTTATCTTGGTCTGTATTCATTTATACACAATCACTGACTCAATAAGATTTTTTTCCTATTTTTTCTAAAGTACTACATTCAATTATGGAAGTAAAGAGTGTAAAATGCACACATTGGTTTGGTCACGCTGCCTAATAAACAGAAAATGTTTGTAAATGTCCTTCGTGTGATATTATTTCACCTTCAGAAACACGTGTACTGCGTATAAACCACACGTAGGTCATGGTAGTTAAAAGGCCTTTATTTCCTATTATTTTTTTATTTATTTTTTTACAGAACTGTTAACACATATGATAAATTTTGTAATAAGTTATTTGGTTCCCTTGATAACTTCGTAAGGATCCCCAACCTTTGTCCACATGAGGGTCAAGAGGAGTTTGTGAGCAACGTTTGTGTTCAGTCAAGGGCTAAAGCATGCGATCCACAGTAGGCACAAGTACTGACATGAACACACGCACCACGACACTAGACACGAAGAAACACAGCTGGAGGACGCCACCCGTCCGTCCCCCGATGCTTTAAAGATGACGCAGAGAAGAAGGTGGTTCAAAGTAAGGTTTCAGAAGGGTCTAAAGGAACGTGTTACATCAGAGATGCAGTGGAGGACTAAGCCCTCTAGAGGGGAGTTTGGTACAGTCCTGCATGTTTGGCAGTATACAGCATGTCCACGCTGTAAACCTGAAGACAGGCCATCTTTACGCACAGAGAGACAGGTTCTGTGGAGAACCTGTTCAGCCCACTTCCTGTTTAGCACAACACTGATGGAGCGAAGCTGGTAGCACATAAACGGGACACGGACATAAACAGAATTTATCTTGGAAGAGCTCGGTGACCGATCGCTGGCACTGATTAATTAAAAAAAAAAAGGAAATAAAAAAATCCTACATTCAATATCAAAATAAATATATATATATATATAAAACGACAAAACAAAAGGATTGATTACACGTTTACACAAGAATACACAGAAGTACACAGAGTAGTAGAGGAGACAAGACAAACATGTTTCAGCACATTTCAACAAAGTGGGAAAAAAATTTGGATTTTTTCTTGGTTTGTAAAAAAAAAAAAAAACTTGAAAAAAACAACAAGTAGCTTCTGTGTAAATGATGCTCAGCCGCTGCCTTTACACGTCCTAAACAGACGTATAAAGAGCAGCCGTGGGCATCGACACCACCAAGCTGTGAGGTGAGCAGAAACAACCGGCGGATTGTATGACTGCTGCAGTCACAAACACTGACGTACATCTGACAATGAGCAGAGTGACCAATGCATGCAGGCCTGTATTGTGTTGCACAATGTCTTCCAGAGGGCCTATATTCAATTCAAACACACACGTACACACACGTACACACACTCTGCTCCCAGTGCCTGTGCCCGATCAAACCAAAGATGCCCGGTGGTCGTGTGACTGTGGTGAGCAGTGAAAAGGAAATAAGAAAATAAATCTATATTCTACAGTGTGCTATACGTTTTACCTGCGATCACATTTGCCTCACCACTCACTCGTGTGTGCCGTCGGCCCGGACTCGAACACAGGTGACAAATACAAGCAACTGCGACCAGGTATTGGCAGTATTTCTGTGACACACTGAAGTCTCGCGTTGAATCCTAATCAGTGCATCATTTGGTCACAGTCGATGGCATTAAGATGGGATAGTGGATAAGGTTAGTATTGCAATAGATACAGTGTGTGTGTGGGGTGTGTGTGTGTCTGTGATCACACACACACACACGCACAACACAAGGGCTGTGTACAGCAGGTACATGGCAGTCAGAGATTTAAAAAAAAAACATAAAGGAATGTAACTGGGAGAACACGCACACTCGAGCTTTGGCTAAGCTAGGCTAAGCTAACATGGCAGCTAACACTTCAGTGTGTGTTGTTGTGACCCCCTCGGAAAGCAGTTAGCTTCACATACTAGCCCCAAAAATTGTGTCCTACGCCATTCTGTAAATCACTGAATGTATAGTCTGTGATTATTATAAATCCATTTATTTCTATGAAACTGAATCCCAGGGAGCGTCTGCAAAATAAATGTAGGCAGGTGTGTACCATTTTGCAGCAATTATTTACAGTATGTAGAAAAACAGAAGCTTTTTTCTCAATTACATTAAACTTTAGCAATTAAACATCCGGGTCGTGAGGCCACGAAGCGATCAATGGCCAAGTAATGATTATTTGCACGCTTAAAAATACAATTAAAATGATACTTTTAAACGTATTATCAAAATGCTCCCAAATCACACAGGATGCAAAAAAGGATAAACACCTGCCTAAAAGTTTTGCACAGTGCCGTGTGTTTTTCTCAATCTGCACGGATGCTGCCCTCTGTTGGGTTTGTTTTTGTTTTTCAAATATTCCTCTTACAAAGCGTAAAACTGTTTCTAAATTGATATAATATTACCTAAAGGAATGCAGTTCCAGCAGGGGGCAGTAATGCAGTTCAGGCAAGAAGCTGCATCTTTGTGTACTCCAATAAATAATAGAATATAAATTTAGCTTAGTTTTAGCCTTCATCACATTTTTGTTATAAATTTGATGATGTATTTCTGAAGTTCTTCCAAATTCTCATTTAGCTTAGCTTTAGCCTTCATCACATTTTTTTGTTTTAAATTTGATGATTTTTGGACGTATTTCTGAAGTTCTTCCAAATTCTGGTCAAAATACGATTTTGTGCATAGCTCTGTGGAAGGGATTTGAACCTAAAACCGGAATCACTTTTGCACCTGGAACTGTTTCATTTTACTCAACTCTTGTTCTTCAGTTTCACCTCAGCAGCGGCGTCAAAAGTGTAGAAAAATAAAGCACGGGGAAGAAAGTGTGAAGGTGTGACCCAGTTGGGTTTATAAATTGCACCCACCCCAAGAGTACAGCATACTCCTGTATGTATAGGCTATGTATATTTATAGTTATATATATATATATATATTAGCACTATATGTGCCAACTTATTTTGAGAGTATTTCTATATTTTGTACTATCAAAACTAGGCATAAACGTTACTAATCACGATACCGTAGAGTCAGCTACCTCTATGAAACAAGGACATCACTTTGAAAGTATAAAAAGACACACTCACTCTACTAAAGTCACAAATGTCCCCACTGCTCACATATGTACAATCAAATGGATTTTTGCCCTCTTGATGAACAAAGACCTCTGAGCAGAAACGGAGAAGAGAAAACAAAAACACCGGCCGAGAAAAACAAAAAAAAAGAAAGAAAACATCAGATTTTTTTCTTCTTCTTCTTCTCTTTTTCTTTTTTTTCATAAATAAATTCTAGCTGAGCTCTAAAGAGTTAGTGCTTGAGTTTTATGGCTTTAGTTTTATCTTATTCATTTATCTCGTATACACATACACATTATTGGATCACAGACAGAGTAAAAGAGACACAGCCGTGAAGGGTTTCAGGTCATTTAAATAGGAGTAAAAAATAATGATAATTTAAAAAAACACAAACAAATAAACAAACTTCAAGTAAAGAAAGAGAGAAGAATGGAGTCCAAGTCGTGTGTGTTTACAGGAATAATCATCTTTTGGCCCCAAAAAAAATTTTTTTTTTTTTTTAAATAACTGAACACACTAACAGACTTCAGTCTGCGTCTGTACTGGCACACACATCGTCACACACACAATCCACCTTCAGATTGCAGAACTATGTTAATTATTTGCCTCAAACAGAAGAAAGCTTTGCGATAAATCTGCCGGGTTAGAAAATAGTTCCGACTTGGAGAACCATCATCCCAAATTCAGACGTTTAAAAACTTCTACTACTAACATATTCATTTAGAAAAAAAAAATAGTAACAGCATTAAAAACCATAAACAGGAACGAGGAAACATTGGCCTTCCAATAAGTGCTGAAACAAAAAGATATGTCCGATAAATGGCTTTAAAATAAATTTGAAAAAAAATGACGTTTTTGATCACAAGGAATTTTACAGCAAGCATGCGGCTACATTTTCATCCTACATGGACTCACACACAGTACTGGACGACACACTTGCTTTAGAATCTCAGGCGTGGGGAAAGGTTCCTATTAGTAAAGAGTACTGTAATATTTGTACCGTATGACATTCTCTCCAGTGACCCCTGGTGGAAATAAATACACGTTTGTTTCGTTTAGAAAATATACAGTGCATTTTGATTATTTTTTTTCTCTCCCTTCGTCGCGTTATTAAAATGACAAATGACACCCATTTACGTACACGAGATATTTTTGCTTTGTCTCTAAAACATGCTCTTATGTACAGTATTTTTGTATAAACATGCAGTATCAACATGTATGAACTATGTGTAATAGGCAAAAACTACACACCGACGGGTTGCTTGATTGCTTCCATGTTGCCTTTTCCTAAGTGTTGCCTCGACGTAAAAGAACAGAGAGTATGTGGTGAAAAGAGAAAATCAAAAACATGGTACGAGTTTTGATAATAAAAAAAACAAAAACGTCAAAAACAGACAGTAACAGAGCTGACATTTCCTGAAATTAGAGACACGCGGATCATTTTTGAATCGACTAACTTGTTGCCGGGGGGATTTTGATTTGACTTTTTTTTCTTTACGATGAAAATCAGTCCGAAAATAATACTTAACGTATTGATTTTTGACATACATTAAATAGTTGGTTTGCCACCCTCACATGCTCACTGGCCACACCTGGTCAAGCCAGTAAACAAGTTTCTGGGGGCACCACTGCTCAGATCCAACTCTTGACAGAATAGGAATCAAAATATTAATCTTTTAAGTGAGTTTCAGTTCAATAATAGTGTAATTTGGAAGTTCATCAACAAAGATCGAGACCTAATTGGAGAAGGAGCCAGGGAGCAGCAGAAATGTGTGGAGTCCACCGGTACAGTCTGTTGTGCCACGGCAACATTAATCTCACAACATTTTTCATCAGGAAAAAAAAAACAATCAAAAACATAAACACAAGCGTAGAACAGAACAGAATAATACCCAGTAGTGCAATTAACTTCAGCAGTTTGGTAGGTTGTGTATAAAGTACACGTGGATCAGTGCCTTCTCCCAGACCGTAAAGAACAAAACGACATTTTACGCAAAAGCTAAAGCAAAACAACAAGAAGAAGAAGAAGAACAGAAGTGTTACAGAATGCACTGCCGAACGGATTTAAACCTGTGGTTTCATTATAAATAATTAAAGCTCTGGTTTCTGGGGGGGGAGGTGGGGGTACATAAATATATTTGTAACCAAACATGGGGGAATTTAAAGTGCTTGAAGAATAAAAGTGTTGGAGGTTGGATGAATTCAAATACGACGAGAGAAGGAAACGAAGGCGGAGGGTAAAAAAAAGAAGAGGAAAAGGCGACGGCGAGAACAACACTGTGACTAGAAGGCGTCCCTGGTAGTTGAAAATTGCTTATTATGTTACTTGGAAGGCTTGTCTCCTTTATGACTGTAAGACGGTTATAGGGATTCCTTTGAAGTAAAACCCTTGTGTCAGGTCCATGACTAATGGCAGTAGCACTGACGTGTTAGATACAGAATCAGAGGCGCTGGGAGGAGGTGGAGGAGGTGGAGGAGGTGGAGGTGGAGGAGGTGGAGGTGGTGGTGGAGGCAGACCGCAGGCAGTACTTGACACATGGTAAATATCATGTCATTGGTGGTGGTGGTGGTGGAGGTGGTGGGGGTCCGTCCATGTTGTGCCTCGCTCTCGCGCTCCTTCACTCTTTGCAGTTCGTGTGGCAGATGAATCTTCTTCTGAACAAAAAAAACCCTTCTTCTTCTTTTTTTTTTTTCTCTCCCACTGTGAATCGCCTCGCTCTACTGTGATGTTCAGTTTTGATATAACACTAGTTGAAAGCGTAACACCGAAGGGGAACAAAAAAAAAAAAATCAACGACGACAAGCGGTCAAAGCGTTTGGATCTGACGTGATTATTATTATTATTATTATTATTATTATTTGAACTCATCGAGTGAAGTGTTTGAATAATTACAACCCGTTTAGAAAAAAAGGCATGGAGCTTCACTTTCCTCTCAGTTCACCTGAGACGAAGGGCGGAAGATTTAACCAATCAAAACGGCAGTGTGTGTCAGTGTGGGTAACTGGATATGTGCTTATCCCTACTGGCTACCCAACCTCTAGGAATGTACTTCAAACTAACAGAATCATCTAGTATGATACAACTGGCAGGTGTGAAACGCGGTGCACCAGACACCCAAGGAATGAACCTGCTTGTGTTATTTCTCTGTTCTATGGCAGTATAAAGCATTTTATTATTAAGCGCTAGTCTAAGCAAAACTGTGTGACTAAAGGGAAGGGGCTGAGAAGAGTACAATATGAGTGGATATACGTTTGGATTCTCTCTACAGCAGGTTCCGTAACGCCGTCTTGTTTGTAGTCTAATCTCTTCTTCTTATCAGTGGAACCACGACCCCGATACAAAAATAGATCTAAAGGAACTCGACCGAGTCTCTGTCCATCCTGTGACTCCTTTTTTTTTTCTCTCTCTCTTTTCTTCTCAATGACATGATTTTATATATTTTAATGCCTTTTTAAACTATATTCCCCATCATGTCGAATGGTATTTATATATTTTTTTAAAGGTGGCAGTGAGATAGGGGGAGGAAGAGAGGGGAGGAGGAGGAGGAGGTGGAGCTCGTGGGGTACGATGTATTCTGGCGGGACTTTACTTCTTGGCATTCAGGGCTGCGAGAGAGGCGTCCACCTCTTCCTCCGGCTGCAGTGGATGCCACTGGGCGATGGGACGGCGGGGGTTGGCCAGCATGTCGGACCAGTGTTTGAGCCCCGCCCCTGTGGACTTGCTCCCCACCCAGATCTTGCCGATGGCATCGTTCTTGCCAATCTTGTCATAATCCAGCACCGTGATCACGGCTTGGATTTTCTGTGAGGGGAGTTCAGAATGAATGAGTGTTTCCATCCCATAATCACGCGGTCTGTGCCTTTAATAATACATTTGACCAATATATTGATAATTGAATTAAACCAGTAAATTATGATCTTATTCCTTGTATTTGGTCCCAAATGTTTCTTTTGTCCTGGATGTTTTTTTTGTGTGTAATAAGATGAAAAGTACTCTGATGTCACCTGCAAGTATCCAGGTACTACAGTACGTGTACACAGTGTACTTACCTGCATCTGCTCCAGAGGAATCTCAAAGCTGAAGGATTCGTTGTAGTACGGGTTGAGCGTGTTCTTCTTCACCGTCGTCTTCTTCTTCTTCAGCCTCTTTCCGTTCTGCAGCAGGTTGATTTTCACGTAGGGATCTGAAGCGACAGAGAGATCATTACTGTAGACGGGCTGGTTCGGGCTGCAATGCTATACTACACCAACAGGTGGGGCCAGAGAGGAGGAGGTTCGGGCTGAGAAATGAGTGACAGGCACTGCAGCGTCAGCACGTGAGCAGAGCTGCAGCTCCTCTGTGAGAACCTGGGTTCCATCTTATCCTGACTGCACGGGCGGAACAACGTGTGTGTGTGTGTGTGTGTGTGTGTGTGAAGCCCACCTGACAGCCCCCCCACGTCCATTTTCTTCAGGTTCTTGGCCTCCAGGATACAGATGGTGAGTTTCCCAGCCGTGGGAACGTAGCGCAGGGAGATGCAGATGTCGCCCAGCTTCTCTTGCTGTGAAGAACAACAGTGTTTACAGGTGCAGCACACACACAGCTGGAGGTGAGGCCGGTGCACGTACCTCCTCCTTTTCTCCTCCACTCAGGTCTTTCCACTCATGGATTGGCTGTCCCAGGTCGATGGTGTTCATGGGAATCTTGATTTCACCGATGAGGTCGTGTTTCCCAAAGCGGTCGAAGTCAAACACCTGCAGCACCAGAGTCTGACCTCCCAAATCTGTGTAGGCGATCTGAAGGCACAGAGTCAGAAAAAAGAAAAGTTTGAAGTACGAAGATGGAGAAAAACAAGAAAAAGATGAAAATTAAAGAATCACTCAAACTCCACTTTAAACTGATATTATTGTCAAGTTCGTTCACTTCCTCTTTCCAAGGTCAACAATCTGTTTGGTCTGTGAGACATTTTAACTGTAGAGCGAGGATTTATTTTAAAGGTGACTCTGGGAGAGTGGCAGCAGCAGCAGCAGCAGCAGTGACATCAGCAAATACTAACATATCCAGTACATAGTGTACAACACACACACATAGTATGTAGCAATATATAGACACATACAGTCTCTATATATTGCTAGACACTATATGTGCATAGTCTATGTATTATGTAGCAATATATGGACCCTGTATGTAATTGTATATATGTATATATTTACACATACTGAACATACATTTATATTCCCATATATACACATACATACGTGCACAATCACATATATACATATACTGTGTACTTGTATGTAAATATTACCTCCTGTATACCCATGCACACATACCCAACATAAACAAACACATATACAGTGCATATATACTGTAATACATATATATATATTTCTATATATGTTCATCATTTTACTGTTCGTTGTTTTCTCCCTCACCTCCTCTTGATCGGCACTGTCGAGGTCTCGCCACTCCTCAATTGGCTTAGCCAGGTCCAGGGTGTTCATGGGTATTTTGATCTCTCCGATCACATCGTGTTTGGAGAATCGATCGAAGTCGTAGACGGACATCACCAGAGTCTTCCCGCCCATCTCTTGAAATGGGATCTTGAAGACAGTAATCAAACCCAGGGTATGAATTTCACACATATATCCAACGAGAAGTTGGAGAACGGATGTAAACACAACAACATCTGAGGGTGGACTTTGGTCCTGGAGCTACAACCTTCCAGAACAAACATCACACTGATCAGCAGCACCACCCTGAATCACTGGACTTGTTTTTTTATAGCTGTGTCAGCGGCAGGTGGCTCCAGAGGTGGCCCTCTCTCCTATAATTTGATTTTCTACCACACTCTCCTTTTCAACGTCCTTTAAAATGTCTGCTGCGTTTTATCAGCACTTGACCAGAAGTGTTGAGCAGAAGAAGATATCAACAGTGGAGCAGCTTGCCTCCAGAAAAGTGAAACGAAAGGAGAAAAAGAGTTCACCTTTTACACCACCTGCCCGCCTGCTAATGGGATAAGAAACGGCGTACGATAAATGTTAGCTAACGGGCGACCGGGAGGCGTTTCACCTCACCTTGAAGGAGAAGGTCTCATTGAAGACGGGGTTGAGAGTTTTCTTGTGGACCTTTGTGTCAAACTTCTTCTTCTTATCAGGGAGAACAAAGACCTTCACGTAAGGGTCAGAGGTGCCGCCGCTGTCCATGGAGAGGAGATCAGCGGCTTGGAGGATTCCCACGGTCAGCTGTGGAGAAGGAACGTACGATTTAAGAATGAAAAAATGCAAGGATACACTGTTGAATCAGAGAAGAGTCTTGGCATTTGTGCCACTAACCAAAACATTTCTTCTCTCTCACAAGGCTGCAAGAAAAACGTATTTTTTTCTGTAAACTGTGGGCTGGATTTTTCAAGTGTTTTTGACAATTGACCGGGGCAAAAAAAAGTTTTTCCAAACCTTTTTGGATCGCACGACTGTGCAATCGGTAAGAGTTTAGGTATGTGGGTGAGGCTTAAACAGAAAGATAGAGATATTTCCTCAGAATGTTCTTCTAACCATAATGTTGTTGTAATAAAGTCAATAACAGAAGGTAACGCAAGACAAAGACAACCATCTCTTTGAGAAGAAATACAAGTCAATACTTGATTTTTGGGAACTTGTTGTTATCATCAACCCAAACATTCTCTGTACTTAAGGAGTACGTATCAACATTTACACATCTCCAAAGATTCCCAACCTCGGAGCAGAACCCTTACGACACCATACTGGACTAAAGACCACGTTGAAATCACAGACCCCTTGTCTCC